TTTTTTTTTGCAGAACCAGGGATTGAACTCAGATCCTTGCGTTTGCCAGTCAAGCGCTTATCCTACTGAGCCATCTCCCTGGCCCCGAAACGGTTGATTCCTAATTGATCAATCTTGCATACCTATATCTGGTAATCTCAGCAACTACTTTGAAGATGACAATGTAATATAACAACCATTGTTAATTTCTCATGATCATGTTTTGAAATTCTATGTTTTTAAATTTTTTTTCCTTTAAAATAAAAAATATTTAAAACAAAGATAAATTATGGTTTAACTTCTTCCAAAAAACAAAAACCAAAACCAAAGGCAACTAAGGGGCTGGGGAGATAGCTCAGTGGCATAAGCGTCTGCCTTGCAAGTGCAAGGTTTGGTGTCCTGGACAGTAAAAACAAAACATCTTCCCTGGAAATTCCTTTTTTTTTTTTTTTTTTTTGTGGTACCGGGGATTGAACTCAGGCCCTTGCGCTTGTGAGGCAAGCACTTAGTCTACTGAGCCATCTCCCCGGCCCCATATACAATACTTTGTTTTATTTTTGCAGTACCGGGGATTGAACTCAGGACCCTGCGCTTGCTAGGCAAACAATATTTTAAAAGGGTGTCAAACTAATAATATTCCGCACTTGAAAAAATTGGAGCCAGGTATGGTGGCACACGCCTGTAATCCCAGCACTTAGGAGACAAAAGCAAAAATTTTGACTGAAAGAGTTGCCAGCCTGTATTGCACAGCTAAACTATTTTTGTTTATTTTGGTTTTTTGAGACAGGGTCTCTCTCTGTAATTCAGGATGGCCTTGAACTCAGCACGTCACCAGGCTAGCACGACGACCCTCCTACCTGAGCCTCCAGAGCACATCACCATGCCCAGCCCACACCTGGCTTTAATTTTTTTTTTTTTTTAAATCGAGCTAGGTGTGATGCCAAACACCTGTAATTACAGAGAATTGCTGCAAGTTCAAAGCCAGCTTGGCCTATATAGTGAGTTCAAAGCCAGCTGGAACTACATAATGAAATCCTGTCATGAAGAAAAGAGAGATGGGGCCAGGGAGATAGCTCAGTAGAATAAGCGCTTGCCTGGCAAGTGCAAGGACCTGAGTTCCATCCCCGGTTCAGAAAAAAAAAAAAAAAAAAGGAGAAAGAGAGAGACAGAAAGACAAAAATCTAATTCACATACCAAGAAAGTATATACATTTTAGTGGTTTTTACTACATGCACATGGTTGTGCAACTATCAGCCCTCTAATATATCTGTTACTCAAAACACCCCCCCCCAAAACAAAACAAAACTATGCCCATAGTAGTCATTTTCCTTCATGCTCTCTCCCTAATCCTCTGGAAACTCCCAAAATATTTTTGCCTATTCCAGACACTCCACGCCAATGGAATAATTTAACATGTACTTTTTTCTTTTTCCTATATTTAGGACAGGGTCTACAGGGTCTCACAGTGTAGCTCGGACTCATAGTGATTCTCCTGTTTTCAGCCTCCCACGTGCTAGGATTACAGGCGTGCGTCACCACGCCCAGTCTCAATCACCTGCCTCAGCATGCTCCTCAGGCAGGGCTGGCATGGCACACTGGGATTGAACCCTGGCCACTGTGTTCTGCCTAAGGAGGTGCTTTTGACCAATGATCTATCAGGCTGGCCCTAACATGTACTTTTTTTGGTGCCGACTTATTTTACTTAGCACAGATTTCAAGGCTCATTGTGTTGTATGTCATAACCTGTATCAATACTTCAATCCTTTTTGTTGGAAAATAGTATTTCATGATATGGATGTACAACATTTTATTATTTGGACACTTAGGTTGCTTTAACTATCACAAATAATGTTTCTGGGTACTTCTGTAAGTTATGAGTGTGTGACCATATTTTTAATGCTTTTGAGTATACACAGGGGAGTGCTACTGGGTCTTATCACACCTCTAAATTTTACATTACGAAGGACTATCAAAGAGTTTTTCAAAGTAGCTGCACTATTTTATATTTCTACCATCAATAAATAAAGGTTATAATCTCACTACGTCCCTGTCCCATATGCTTGGCATTGCCTGTCTTTGGTTATAGCCATTGCAGATGTCAAATAGTGACAGCACTATGATTTTGATTTGTGCTTTCTCGGTGATTAAGGATCCTGAGCATCTTTTCATGGGCTTAGTTCCAGTTAGTGATTTTAATTTTAACCCTGAGCTTTGGAGAGATCGGAGTAAAAGGTTTACAGCACTTAGGGACACTGCTCCTTACACAAACATCTGGAGAAACATCCTCACTTGCAGTGATGTTTGCTACAGACTGGAGAATCGCAAGAGGTCTTCGCTGGGCCAGAACCCGTGCAGGATCTGCAGGACTGTAGAAAGACATACTGCATTTAGTAATTCTTTTTGTTTACACTGATAACAGTAACCTATTTCATCCTCATTTATAATAACAGAAACATAATACAAAAGCAAAAACAAACCTTTCATTCTTCTTTTCTGAAAGAAACTCATCAAAAATGGAGAAAGGTATACTGCAACCTAGAGAGAGGGAGACTAGATATATATATATATTCTTAGGAGTAATGATTTACTCATGACAACTAGATAAATTAGTATTTTGTGCTGTTTGAAAGCAGAAAACTTTTTTTTACAATGAAAAACTTTAAATATATAAAAGTCAAGATCATTTAACAATTTTATAAATATGAAATCTTGCTTCAATTTATTTTCCCACCAATGCTACTATTCCCCAATCTAACAGGATTTTAAAATGAATCTAAGACATTATTTCATCTGCAAATATTTCAGTAATTCTTCTAAAAGAGGTTCTTTTAAGTCTAATCTCGACACATGATAGCTATATAATTAACAATTTCTAAATATCAATATCTAGCTAGAAGTTCTAAATTTTTAGTTTTTTAAAAAAACCTGTCTAAAAGTTTGACTCAATTGTACATGCAGAATAAGATCTATATACTGGGCTGGGAAGATAGCTCCGCAGTCTAGGTACCTGCCTGGCAAGTGCAAGGATCCAGGTTTGATCCCTGGTACCACGTGCCATGCAGGTCACAGAATCCCGGGCGTACCTTGCCCACCACCGAAACTGGGGATGGTGGCACATGCCTGTAATCCCACTTCTGGGGAGGCTGAGACAGGAGGATCGCTACAAGTCCGAGCTGTGTAGCGAGACCCTGAACAAAATAAAAGATTAAAAAAAAAAAAAAAAAAATCTATATACTCTGACTAGTTCAAATGTCTCTTCTTTTTTCTTTAAATTGTATTTATTTATTTATTTATGTCTGTGTGGGTGGGTGGGGCCAGTTCAGCCCACCAGGGGGTGGGGCTGGCTGGCATGTGGTGCTGGGGGATTGAACCGTGGTCCCTGTGCTTTGCTAAGCTTGTTCTAAGTAGGTGCTTTAGACCACTGAGCCATCTCACAAGCCCCTGTCTTTTATTTTCTAGAGCTTCTTTTCTTTTTTATTAGTAAGTGACTTGTTTGTCATATAATGCTGGCTTATGCAATCCTCATCTCTCTCGGTTGTTTATTTACTTATTCATATTTTAGGGCAGGGTCTACAGGGTGTTCAGGGTCTCACTACTAGATAGGACTTGTAGTGATCCACCTGTTTACAGCCTCCCAAGAGCTAGGATTGACAGGTGCGTGCCACCACACCCAGTCTCTTGGTTGTTTAATATGCTCCTCTATACTTTGAAATCCTATAAACTGGTGGTTAGAAATAAGAGACTCAATTAGATTTCATTTATTTTTTTGCAAAACTACTTATAAGTCCATATTCATGTTTCTATCACTTTGAACACGTTTCTTTTTCTTTTTTTGTACCGGGAATCAAGCTCAGGACTTTGCAATTGCCAGGCAGGTACTATGCTGTTGAGCTACATATATCCCCAGCCCTCTTAACATATTTCTTTTTTATATAGCACATACTATTCTTTAA